TGAATTGGAGCAGGCATTAATAGTGTGCCTTTTGTGTGAATGAAGGTCAAACACATCCCAGGATGGGCTGAGGGGAGCGCAGCCACCGAGGTGAAGGAAGTGCCTCTCCCTCTTTGGTGCTGATAAGGCAGCATCAGGAGTTCAGGAGTCCAGTGTTGGGTTCCTCAGTATGAGATAGATATTTATCTACTGGAGCAAGTGCAGTGAGGCTCACCATGATGGTCAGATGGGGCAGAGCGTGTCGTGCTATATGAGGAAAGGAACTGGATTTTTTCACCTAAGATAAAAAGGAAAATCTTATCAGGGCCATTCGAACTTAAATTATTACTCTGAGATTCTCTCAAGCTCACCATTTATATTTCCTTTTTTTGATTATTACAAAGGAAAACAATATATTATCATAATATTACCATATTATATTAATATTTATTTTATGTATTTGTTGCTTATTATAATAAATAGTGGGTTTATATAGATACACTATATATATATATTTATATATAAGGTATTTAATTTATATATATATATATAAAACCTTCAATTCCAGGAAGATCTTTCCTCCTTTTGTGAACAGAAGTGATTTTATTCCCTTGCAAAACATGAAATGGAGTAGAATTGCAGATGCTGGCGGGATGCCAATGGGCTCTTCCTGCAGCACTAGACCTGAAGTTGGGGGCATCTTTGCACCCCATGAGAGAGAGGGGTTCCAGCTTCCCAGTGCACCTCTCCCAGCCAGGCTGTACTGGTTGTACTGGATGTTTCTTTAGCTGCAGCTCTGCTTGGCTGTATCTTACAAAAAGGATGAGTAGCTGACCTACAGTAAATCCAAGTCTGCACTTGGATTAGGTTTCAGAGGATTTGACCGTAGTAAATATTTATTTAAAAATTCAATGCCCATTTCTCCTTTAAATTTGAATAGCGTAAATCCAAAGTAGCTACATGTCCCCAAGTAAAATATTTTTATTCAATTTCCTTTTTACTTTCTTCCTTTTTAAAAGGAAAAATAATTGAATCTGGAATGTTTCAATCTGAACTCTACAAATATTGCTTTGGTCTCTAAGTCAATGAACTTTGTGACAACATTCCTTGTAAAGGTTAAAGCCTTTCCAGACAAGTGATTAACAACTGTGATAAGCCCTTCCATGAGACATGAGTTTTGCAGCCTGTTGTGTGGTATCCCTGTCTGAGTCTGTAATTGTCTAAATATAAAAAGATAAAAGAGAAAGGGATTGCCAAACTGCACTGTATAAGGTAAAGCGAGTCAGAGGGAAAATGTTTATAATTTTTCTTCTTCCTTTTGCATTGCTGGCTTGTTCTTATCTTTAGCCAGAAGATGCTAACATCATTTCCTCTCTATAAATTGACTTGCACATGATACAAAAATACAACATGAACTTTATTTTCTCGCTTAATAGAAGTTCTAATGCTTCACTGTTTGGATATTCAAGAATCCCGATTTAATCTCAGAACTGTTAAAAAATTATTTTACCAAGCCAGCAAGTATGCATATTGTCTCAGTGAGCCTTCCTTTTTAACTAAGCAGAAATATTTAAATGGAATTTTGGATTTAGTTAGAACAACCAATGTTTGCAGAGTGATAGTAACAGGACTTATTTTGAACTAGCATATCTATTTCTTTGTTCCCTTTCTAGTCCTATTTGAAGTAGAATTGTGATTGGCCCATGGGTTTTAACAAAACTCTGACTATTGAAGCAGATTCAGAAAGCAGTTGTTCCTCTCTTCAATAGTAAATGAGTACCATGAAAAAATCCCACAGTCTTAAAAGTTTTCATTTAGTTTTTAACAGCGATTCGCATTATTAGTGATTCACCTGCTTGTGAATGAAATATGAAACATGTTTCTATTGCTCCCATTGCTGTGCCATCTGGGTAAATCATGTGAAATGAAATTATGGTGACTGGCAAAAAGTCCCATGACTTTGCAAAAGCAAGCAAGAAAATCAGTGAACACCTGCTGTTTTTTCCTGTATAGCAATTTTCCAATTTTGAGATTGTTATTTTATTTGCAATCTAGCTATATAATTAATTGAAAAGGTATGTCCTGCAAACACATTTTAGAACTCACACAGGAAGCTGTGAGGATCTTTGGCAGTCAAATAGTTACTCACAAACAGGAACTTCAGGCCCACAGGTGGTCACAAAGGGAACATTTAACAGATTGGACAGCATATGGGAGGCCACATTAAATAAATTCCTTGTGCTTCACATGGGTCCTGCAGGTATCCCTGAACAAACCTTTCAGAGACTTCTTGGTGCCACAGTGGACAATAAGAGCTGGTTTAAGTGTGACTATGTCAGGCTCTGGACTGTTTTTGTGTCTGGGTGTGACAAGGCTATCAGATGTCTCAGAGGGGCTTTGGCTGACTGAAAATTCAGTTTCCTGGGGCAGTGCAGCTGCTCAATGACTGCCTGCTCCTGTCAGGAAGCACTGTTACTGCAGTTTAGAAAAGCACTGCAGGATGAGCACAAAGACTGTGTGGGTCATGGGTAGCTAGGTAAGTCCTCAGCATAGGCATTGTGCAGCTTAGTCTAGGACTGCAGTGTTTTGCTTTTGTCCTTGCCCAAAGTGTCCAGAGCAGCAGGCGGGCTTAAAAGTGCCCACAGGGCTCCCAAATGCGATTTTCTGTTAAGCAGGAAACAGCATTGTTTTAAATGCAGGTTTTCTCAAAGCTAGTGTTTGTGGTGGTGCAAGAAGAAAGCAGCCATGGTATGCACCTTCAGTGGAAAGCACATCTACTTCTAGGGCTGATTTTGTGAGGAGCTGAATAAGCCCTGAAAATTTGCAGATTGAAAATCTGAACTTAGAGTGTCCTTCTAGGAACTAAATAGTAAGCAAAACGTAGCTTTCCAAATCGCTCCTTTTTTCCAGGACTGCTTCTGAGTGGCATTTACTCCTTACAAACCAACTGTTAGCTTGTTAAGCACAGGAAGCTGATACCTGCAGATAGCACCTGAAATCAGCCAGCTTGAGCCTTGGTCTGGTGCAAGTGCAGTGGGCTGCCCTGAGGCTGCTCAGGGTTTGCTGCGTGGCAGGTGCAGAGGGACCAGCTCCTCATTGCAGCAGCTGCCATGGCCTGCAGGCAACAGTCTGAGCAAAGGTACTGCCAAAGGTACTGCCAAATTTTGTGAGAATTCATCCTGTTGTCACCACATGGCTGAGGCTTGAGGCTTTAAGAACCATCAAAATTAATATACAAGCTCTCCTTTCAAGGATAAAAAACCCTAATCAGATTAGTAGGTAGTATGTAAATGGTTGGCTGGGAAGTATGTTAATGCTAGAATAGTTTATAGTAGTCTGGTATAACTCCTGTTTACAAAGTAACTTCACAAAAAAGTGATGACTTTTTGGAAATTCTTTCAGTGTGCTTATTAAACAATTGAACTTGATTCCTAAGAGAAATGTCAATGCAGACCAGCAACTCCATGGTATTGGCCTGACAGGCAAATGCATGGATGTACAGTGCAAGTGTGGGGAGGTGATTTGTTGTGTTATCAGGTTTCAATTTCCCTTGACTATCTCATGTATCTATGAAGTATCACTGCAGCAGTACAACTGCTAATTAGACTAACCAAAGGTCTTAAGGGACCTGGTCAGGTTTGTCACTGGGATTTCCTGGCTGTCAGCCCTAAAATTCAACCATTTGACAACACATAAAGCCTGGAAAAAGCCTAGATTCAACAGCAGAATATTTTGCATTGCTAGTAGCGCCATTGGAGGCATTAAGCTCACTTCTATGTGAGTGGGTAAACCCCAAGAAACTAGGCAAGTTGCTGGGATCACTATTGACACTGAACAGTGTGTTAACAGCAGCAAAGCTGCATTTTTGCTCATTACCTTCAAGTGAGTTCTAGTACATCTCCATGAGTGACTGTGTGAGCACAGCAGTTTGAGTCTATGCCTGTTGCACTTGCAGTCTTTTTTAGAAGACACAGTCACTGTCTTGTGACCATGTGTACATCTATGAAATTATTAATAATGATTTTTTTGCTTCTTAGGATTTGTGTTAAGGGGACTTGAAAAAAAATTTGGAAATGGGAATTAGTCAATATTGACAGAAACTGTATGGTAATCTATTATTGAGATTGAAAAAATATCAAATTTGAACCAGTATCATTTCCTGCAGTAAAAGCCCTCTTAGTATGCAGAGCCCTGCCTATTAAAAAAATCCTCCCCTCAAGTAAAGAGTTGTTTTTTTGCATACCTGATCATGCCAAGGAATCATACTTGCTTATCCCTAAAAATTCCTTCTCAGCTCTATTAGTCCCTGGAAGTGGGAACTCTGAGGTGAAACTGATAGAGTTTGACTATTGAATTTTACCAATGTCAAGTCTTTGATAAACACTCCCTCCTAAGGATGTATGAAAACCTGAGTTTGAGAACTTGTAGGCAGAATGCTCAGTTCCAGTAAATCACACATTTTGTGACAGGGTGGGATAGTTGGAGATTAAACACACTTCCTTCAAAGTTGTGTTTAATAGTGAACATCAATCTATTTAATAATTTAGGGATTAAGCAGTAGCATTATAAGAAGAGAAGAAATCATAAGGAGGAAATCATCCCATAATACAGCATTTTGGCAGGATTAAAGTCTCAGAGGAGAAGGAGGAAATAAATGTGTTGAGAAGTAAAGAAATATATGCTTTGTTAGCTCAGTAAGTTCTGTATACATCAAGCTTTGGGCAACAGTGTTGGGAATATGCAGAGGTGGGATGTTCACCCTTTTGTTACTTGTGGCAGTATTAAGCTTTCATTTGCATTCATTGACTACTGGGGGTTCCCTAGGAGAGCACTGTCCAGTGAATGAAATTCTCAGCCAGCTGTTTACCTTCCATTTTTCCAATGCTGTCCCAGTTTAATCTCTTCTGTTTGTGTGTTACTACCAGATGTGGACTGCTGGGCTTGCCTCTTGCCCAGTGTCACTTCCCACAGCTGGGAATGCTGCGGTTTGGAGAATGACAAGTCGCACTCTTTTCTTCCAGTTTCGCCTGGTGGTAAAGACAGCACTGAAGCTGCTGCTGGTGTTTGTGGAGTACACAGAGTCCAACTCCCCACTTTTGATCCAGGCAGTATCCACTGTGGATGAAAAGAGAGGTGAGTAGCCTTACCAGGGGGTTGCAACATCTCTGCACTGCTGAGATCAAGGTAGCATTTCATCACTGCTTTCAGTGGTCCTAGAGTTGCTGTCATCGATGCCTGCTTTGTCCAACATACCTTTTATTTCTTAAAAGCATTTTTTAAGTATTCATATAATCTAAGGTTGTTTGAAGAATTAATTGTAATGGGAAAGTGAAAAGTGAAAACTGAAGAACTCCATTACCTCCTGGGGTGCCAGAGTCATTGCCCTTTCCCTGCACCCACATGCTAAGTAAACCCCCCCCCCCCCATATCTTCCGACTCAGAGGCTCCTTTGGGCAAGACCATCTTTCCACTTCCTTCTGGGAAGCAGCAGTCTGATTTAGAAGAGAAAATGATATCTAATCAGTGTAATCCCTTTGAAGAGAAAGACGAGGTCAGTAATAGTACAGGCTTTATACTAAAAGCAAAACCATCTGTTGTTACATTAAAATAAAGCCCTTGAGCAGATATTATACTATGAAATCTGTTACCCTTCAGGCTCATGAAAAATACTTGAATATGTATACTGTATTTTTTACAAATAAATAGAACAAAAATGGCTCTTTCTTGTTCTTCCCACAAAGCCATCACTAAGCTCCTGGGGCATTCTCTCTTGATGTAAAACATTCCTTTGCCTCAAGGAGAGTTTTTGAGGTTAGGAGATCCATTGTTGTGGTCTCAAACATGGAGGTCGAAAGCAAGCTTCCCTCTGTGGAGCAACTGCCTCTATACTCAACTTGTCTGAGAGACTTGATATGGTAAAAGTGAAACAAGAAAATGTTGGGGGCTGGGGAGAAAGGTGGTGCCAGAAATAGGAAAAAGATGCCAAATTTTGCTTTCAGTTATCAGAATGGGTTGAAAAGAAAAAACCCAAATTATCTCTTATAGCAAGGAAGCAGGCAGGGGCAATTCCAAACAGCAAATTCTGCCAGTTGGCTTTCTGTTTTAAATTAAAAGCACTAAACCTTACAATGCCATAAGCATAAATATGATTATAATATTCATGTACCTGTGAGCACTGTGACTCCTTTTGTCAGTCATTCTTAATGTTTCATCAGCTTTTTGAGCCCACTGATATTCTCAATGAGTTCAAAATGCCCTATATCTCCTAACATGCTAGTAAATTCATTATTAAAGAAAAAAGAGAAACAAACTATTCCCTTCTCTGTCTGTAAAGCAGTCTTAGGCAATCCTTTAAATGCTCCAAAGTAATAAAACAACTTAAGTAACAACACAAGACTTGAAAAAACTGATGCATGTAGTTAGATGAGCATATGTTAAGAGCATAATGAGAGGTTTTACAGGAATTCTCATACCTGTGCTTTAGTGGATTATTTTATGAACTCCTGCAAATACCTTAACCCAAATACCCAGTTTTTCCTTTTTCCTATTTTTTAAAATTATTTTCATTAAGCAGTTGTTCTTAGCTCCTTAAGAGATTTTTCTTTCTTGTTTTATATTTAGTTCCCTTTTTAGGTCATCAATATAATAGAATCACAGAGTCATTTTGGTTGGAAAAGAGTTTTAAGACCACTGAGTCAAACCATTAACACAGCACTGCCAAGTTCCTCACTAAACCATGTCCCTCAGTGCTGCATCTGCATGTCTTTTAAATACCTCTGGAGATGGTGACTCCACCACCTCCCTGGGCAGCCTGTTCCAGAACCTGATAACCCTTTTGGGTTGGTGAAAAAAATTCTTCCTAATATCTGACCTAAACCTTCCTTGATGCAACCTGGGGTAATTTCCTCTCATCCTGTCATTTGCTAACCAGGAAAAGAGGACAACCCCCACTTGGCTACAGCTTCCTTTCAGGAGTTGTAGGGAGAAGTAAGGTTCCCCTGACCCTCCTTTTCTCCATGCTAAAGAACCCCAGCTCCTTCAGTCACTCCTCATAAGGCTTGTGCTCCAGACCCTGCACCATCTTTGTTGCCTTTCTCTGGACACTCTTCAGCACCTCAATGTCCTCCTTGAAGTGAGGGGCCCAAAACCAAGCACAGGATTCAAGAGGAGGCCTCACCAGTGCCAAGTACAAAGAGACAATAACTTCCCTGCTGCTGCTGGCCACACTGTTCCTGATACAGGCTAGGATGCCATTGGCCTTCTTGGCCACCTGGCACATGGTGGCTCATGTTCAGCTGCTGTGGACCAGCACTCCCAGGTCCTTTTCTGACAGGCTGTTTTCCAGCTGCTCTGCCCCAGCGCTGCATGGGGCTGTTGTGACCCAAGTACCAGGACCTTGCTGATTGTCATACAACTGTCTTTGTCCCGTTGATCCTCCCTGTCCAGATTCCCCTGAAGAGATTTGTTGCCCTTCCGCAGATCAACACGCCCATCTAACTTGGGAGTCACCTGCAAACTGACGTGAGGGTGCCCTCAGTCCCCTCATCCAGGTCATTGATAACAATATTAAACAGGAGTGTCCCCAACACTGGGGCCTGGGGGACCCTAAGAGTGATCATCTGCCAGCTGAACTGAACTCCAGACACTACCACTCTCTAGGCCAACCATCCAGTCAGTTTTCTACCCAGTGAACAGTGCACCCATCCAAGCCATGAGCAGCCAGTTTCTCCAGAAGAATGCTGTGGGATACAATGTCAAAGCCCTTCACTTTCAGATGTGCATATGCTGTGTTTTAATGTATAATTTTAAATTTGTGGCCTAAAAATGAGAAGTACCTGCTTTTAATGACTGATGAAACAAAGCAGAAAAAGAGAGAAAAGCAATATTCCTTTTCTTGAACCATCGTCATAAATCTTGCAGGTATGTAATTAAGTTCAGCACTGCTTTGATAAAAGTTCGATGTTTCATGTACATACAAGGTGATGAGATATGACATAATTCTTCAACATGTGTAGCACACATGATTAACTTCTAGAACCCCATATTAACTCAGCCTGGTTTCAAAATGATCCCAGCTGTGGTTTCTATGTGTGAATACATCCACATGCAAACTGGAGTGCAGAGATCCATGGAAGTACTGCCTTTACTCTGAGGTACAAGCAGACCATAAATGAGTAACTGCATGGCCCTCGTCATGTAGGAATTAGCTTGTCCTTGCACTTCCATCTAGCTCCTCCCTTCTCCCATGCTTTTTGTTTCAGAACTCTAGAGGAATTTGGTCTCTTTTCAGTTTAAGCATAAGAATGCAAAGGCTCTGGGAAGTGAAGCTGGCACTGTACTCTGCTGTCTAGGGCTTCTTTATCACAATCGTATTTTAGCATAGAGATTAGAGCCAAATGGCCCTCATTATCTGTTCTTTGCTTTTCCTGCAATTTCATTCCTAGTTAGATTCCACTAAATTAACTCACACACTGTAGGTATGATGGAAAGATATAAGTTCATTCAAATATAAATAGCCAGAAGTACAAGATGTCAAGGTCTTTACAAAAGTATCACTACCTTTCCAGCCTATAGCTGCTGGAGACAGACACTCTCTAAGTTGGTGGCAGTTATCATGCAAGGTTCTGCCCTTGTGCATGATATTTCATGCTTTATACAAACTGTGCACCTGTTTTGTAGTTCTAGTGTCAAGTTTTGTGTATGACACGAACAAAAGCATTCAAATAAATATGTAAAAGCATTCAAAGAGGAAACAGAAAAGACTGGGACTTAAAACAATGGGCAATGTAATTCTGAAAATATACTGAATTAATTTAATATTTGCTTAATTGTTGCAGCCTCATTGTTCTTTGTCTATACACCATACATGGTTGCTCATAACACTGCAAGTACCATCAGAGTTGAAACTGCAGCCTCCCTGTCAGAACAGCTGTGACAAAGAGCTCTTCCAAGTGACAAGCCCCTAAAGGGCAGTCAAGCAGTTCTCATTTTACCCATTAGGAGGCAGGAAAACACACAAAACTCAATCTCTGGTGCTTCACTTCACTGAGCCTGTTTCATCACTCTCATTGATTTTCCCACAAAGTCTTACCCATCTGCTCCCAGAAAAATCACTGGATTCTATATCATCAGTCTTCTAGATCATCATTTTTCTACATCAGGATCTGGTGAAGGAAGACATTCACCTGTTCCCTAACTAGAATCAAGAGGAGGCAGTACTATCAATGACTTTGGCAGAGCTACTCCAATATGTACAAGATGAAACCTTTATTTTCAAATGCAGTTTTCCTCATTATGATCTTAATCTGAACAGGACTCTTTTCACTTTAAGTGTGCTGGACTGCACAGGCTCTGGAAAGGGGAGCTCTGAAAGGGGGAGCTGAGCTGGATCTGTGTATGTCCCATGCTGTACGGATCATAAGTTGGAAACTACAGATTCTCATTATATATGTGGAAGAATATTAACCCAAGGACAGCAAGGCAGGAAGCTCATGGTGAGACTTCCACAGAAGAACTGCCTTACCCTGGGTGGGTAGTAGATGTCCTCACAGCTATTTCCACGTTCACTTCTTGGCTGTTCAGACTGAGATCAAAATGGAGGAAATAACATTTGAAGGAAAGGTTTAACCTGGTACAAATTGGAATAGCTCTGACAAAGTTATTGATAGTACTGCCTCCTCTTGACTGTAGTTAGGGAATAGATGAAGAATTTGGAATTTAAGCCTAGATTTTGGAAGTTTAGTAGCAGAAGCATAAAGAAAGCTTTTCCAAGATAGATGAGCTGTTACAGGGCTGCGTTACTAGCAGGTGTGTCCAATCGACAATATTTTTTAAAAATTGCATTCTGAAATAAAATAGCAGTATTGCTTGAAAAATATTATGTATCATCCTTTCAGGAAAACAGCAAGGTGACTATGAAATTATTATTTTATGATACATGGATGCTGCCCAAAAAAAAAAAAAAACAGGATTGTTTCAATAAGAGTAGAACCTGCCTGCAATAACAAAGAACTCTCACTGAATAATTCAGTGGATTAAATAATTATGTTTTTATGTTGTTATCAACTCACTGTTTTTCCAAATGGCGTTATTGTGAGACAGACTTGCATGGTTTCCCCATTTTGTTTCTCTTTCCTATTTCCTTCCATTTTTCTTTTTTTTTTTCACTGAAAACCACAGGAAAACATTTTTGTAGTGAGAATATCATTCCTGCTGATCATAAATCATTTGCAAGCTGAGTGAATTTGTTCCACATGACTTTTGAACATATACTGCACAAAATGCCTGGCAATATAGAGAATCTGGTAAAGAGGCGTCTAGTGTATTTTCATTACAGACATGTATTTGAATTAGTATTTAATTAGGAATGCATATAGATACATCTGGAGATCTGAGAGTGAATCCCCTTCCTCCTTTGATTTTGCTTAAGATAAAAAAGCCCTGACTGGTCAAGATCAGAGACTGTCTGAGGGGGGAGAAAAAAAAGGAGAAATACTGCTGTCTGCACATTCACTTTTAGACAGGTTTTTCCACGCAGTTCATTGCCATTGCCTTGAAAACGCAGATCCTTGGTTAGCAGAGATTTTATGTCTGTGTAGCAGGGTACCTATTGGATACCATCTTTAATAAGCAAGGGCTGTTACAGGGTAATACAGAGTTTAGACCTTGGGGTTGACTGATCAGTCAGCAACAGGTGGCTATGACGGCACGTTTGCATTTTTCTGCCTGATTATACTCAAACTCTCATCAGCTATATAGTGTTCAGGGGATGTGGGCTGTTGGAATACTCTGCATGTTTCCCTCTGAAACTGAAAGACTATCACAGTTATGTTGTGTAGTTGAATTGAGTGTAACTCGGGGCTAAGGTTAGCTCTCTGCTTTTGGTGACTGGATTTATAAGTCCTCCTCACCTTTAACTTTACTCTTAACAAAACACTGGATTGCAGTCTTTCGTTATTTATTTCAGTTTTCCTAGATAAAATTTGGTACATACAGCCATCTTGCCATTCAGTCAAGTGAGATAGGACAGTTTTACAAGCTACCTTCCACAGAAGAGGCTGAGTCTGGGTAGTGTATTGCTTGCCTGATATTTTTAGCACAATAACTCACTAAACTGTTTGGGTTTAGGTATCAGAGAAATATGTAAATGCAAATCAAGCAAATAACTACAAGCACAAATTTTGACCTTTCTTAGTGAAAAATGAAAGAATCATATCTGAAAGTTCTGTAGGTGGGTTTCCTATTAAAGTATTTTGGGAACGAGCCACAGCAAAGATCTTTTCCCTCACTGATCGTTTCTTTTGTCCAAGACATATAGCCTGTAATTTGAGAAAACTGTTTCTCTGCCACAATGTTTTGTTAACCGGCCTTACCTTAATGCAGCGCAACTCGGCAATAGCACTAGAAATAGGAGCAGCAGGCACACTGAAAGCACAGCACGTAGGTCTCTGCTGAAGATTTATCAAAGCCTATGTGAACCTATGATAGGCTGGGTAAAATTCCTGTCACCTGATTTTCAGAATTTTGGTGTCAGTTGCTCTGTGCTAACAAAGCACAGTGTGCTGTGCTCCCTTCATCAACAAGGGAGAGAAGCTGGTGCCTTTGTAGAGAGTCCACCTGCCATATTTTATATCCCTGCAATAGGCTGGATTGTAGTTTTCACTGTCTACATTAACGTCACTCTCAGGGGAGCGGGAGAGACTGTAGACAAAGCTGGTCTGCTTAAGCTTTCACCTGGCCACATATTCCAATTTGTGCCACTTTGTGGATAAGTAGAAGCTTTTTATGTAGCTTCCCATTTTGATCACCATAAGCAAAGTTTCTGCTTTTCCTCTAGGAGTCAAGCCATGGTCCAACATCATGGAGATACTGGAGGAGAAGGATGGAGTTGATACGGAACTACTGGTTTATGCAATGACCTTGGTTAACAAGGTTTGTTTACTTTGTTGGCATGACTGGTGCAGATAATATTGCTGTTTTCAATTGTGTCATGGATTTCCCTGTTGAGAGTATGTGATGGAAGAGACCTGTCACAGAGAAGCTGCAGGACAAGCTATAATCAATCAGCACACTCCTGTAACTTGTGCTGCAGCCACCCAGAGGCAGCACCAGGGAGCAGAGGTGTTATTTTGGTGGTTGTTGTGTGGAATTGTGGTCTGACATGGCTCCTCTCCCAGGGCTGACAATGCTGTGCTAAAGGAAAACATGACAAAGTAACTCAACAGATTATCCAAGGGGAGAAGGAATGCAAGTGCTGGTGAAAAGATCACATGCTCACAAAGGCTTGTGTCATGCACAGTTTTCTAGTTCATATAGTTTAATTTTTTTTTTTTTTGCTGTGATATAAATATGATTAATTTAACAGGTCTGAGTGCTAGTAAGGGTGCTTCTGCTTAAAAAAGTAAGGTAACATTTTTTTCTGATTTCCTTATATTTTTTGGTGACTGGATTTGTAAGTCATAGTTTTGCAGTAAAGTCAAATATTTTCTGAAATATTGGCTTATGCTGTTGGGAGGGAGAAAATAGAAAGATCTTGAAAGTTAGAAATTTATAATTGTAAATTCCTTAAAAATCAGCATCTAGTCACAGACAAATTGTAGGGGGAGGGAGTACTAAAATTAAAGATTAATTTTTTTAAGAGCACAGAAAGCCAGCATACTCTTGGCAAACAAAATAATTGTGTGTTTTATGGTTATACTTAATAGGGCAGAGTATTAGGAAATATTATTATTACTCATTGTATTCACTTGAAAATGCTGATTTTGTTCGTGGGGGTTATACACCAAGCTGCCAGTTTATTGGGCTCTTGGCTACATGATTGGAATTGTGGGTTGCTTTTTGCTTTTTTGTTGGATTTTTGTTAGTTTTTGTTTGGTTTTTTTTAAATAAAAGGATTTCTTAATGGCAGATATTTTCCAGCAAATATGTCTGAGAAGGACTAACTTCTCCTGGTGATATTACTGATCTTACTGTACTTATGCTTAGAGTGACCTTTGCTCCTGATTCCACAGTAGTAAGGTTCCTCTTGATTTTAAAAGACCACCTTACTTTACTGCTGTACTCTTTCTGAAAAGCATCAGCAGTTACATATGCTTCTGTCTGTATCTGCTATTAAAGCCAAGGTGATCAGTCATTAATGTCTCTGCTTTCCACCTTGTTTTGTGTACTGATTCCTCATCCTGAGAGAGTTCTTTTCATCATTTGCACAGTTGTAACCTACCTGGTGTTTGACTTCCTCAAAGGTTTTCCCTGCTGATGCTGTTATTGTCCTGTAGTAGATTCCATTATTCTGAGTTTTTCAGTACATTTAAAGCTATTTTTAGGAGGAGGTAGTTCTTTAAAAACATTCAAAAAGAAAAAGCATGTCACAGTCAAAGAAGCAAGGCAGTTATGAAGATCAAGGAAGAGAGGAATCCCACAAATCCACACTTATAATTATGATCTGGCTTATGGGCAGCTTTATGATGTTTTTAATGGGATATTTTTCATGATTATAGAGAAAACAGCAAGCAGCATGTAACAGTTGTAATTTTTTTACCTCAAAGAGAATACAAAGAAGGCTCAGATGGTTTCGGCTTCTCTAGACAAGGAAATGTCAAAGTTTTCAGTGCGGGCAGAGTCCTCATGAAGGATTTGTCTTAAGGAAGCATGTCTGTACTTTTTTTTCTTTCTCCATGTATCCGTTTACAGACTGTGTTCCTTCCTGCTCCAAAGCAGAAAACATATCTGCCCAGACATAAGAATTGCTATAGTCCTTTTATCTTCTCCCTCTCTTTTATTGATGCTAAACCAATTTAGTTATGCCAATATTTTATTAACCCTCTCTTAATTTGTGAGGATTTAGGTATTAATGAATTTCTTAGATGAGAGTGATCCCAGTGCAGATACTTCTGATTATGCATAGTTCCAGTATAACCTTTGTTATTTTTCTTGGAATAGTTAGAAATTGAATTTGATATGCTTTAGGCTCTGAAAGTGAATCTGTGAGTGCAATGATGAACCATGCAAAGAAAAAAATATGTTATTGTCCAGTTCTGGTCAACAACATGCAGTGAAAAATGGATTTATACTGCTGTGTGATTTAAAATTATAATAACCAATAAAAGGCTGCTGACAGCAGCAGTTGCCAGTAAATACTACTTTATGCTGCTGTTTTTCCAGTCTACAGCTTGCCTTAGTTTGGATTTTAAAAAAGCTGTACTTGAAGGTGGGTGATCTGCATATCAACATGAAGATAATTTCCTGTTATTTTAGGAAGTAAATGCTCAGAGATCTAATTGTTCCTCCACCATTTTGCAGATAAACATCACATCCTACTGTGCATGAAGGCATTTTGGTCAGAATAGTTGCTGTCCATGTCTTTCATTTGCAACTGAAAGCCTCATAGTTGAACACTTTTCTATGATAATATTTCCACATCCAAGTTAAAGTTCCACTGAATGTGCAGTATGAGAACTTCATTTGCTGAATCCTTAGATTTTTACTCAATGCTAGGTGTCAGTTTAGGAAGGAACAAAATAAATGTGGTACCTGTTTTCAGCACTATGCAGGATGTTTTAGTTTCATAGTCTTCAGTGGGTTCTAAACAAAGTGCCATCCTGGAAAGAGAGAAATTTCTAATTAAAGCCTGAACATATAACCTTAACAGTTAATTGACCTTTGTGCTAAGAATTCCTGTTGTTGTGGATTTCACCAGTTAAGAATCCTGTAATGACTGAAGAAAATGTTGCTGTGTTGTGTTTAATTAGAAAAAAAAAATTAAAATGTACTTTGTTGGTACACATATTTCATGGCTTGCATCACAGGAAAGATGTGCTTTAACAAGACAGCCATGTCAGCTTCCCATTTCTCTCATTAGTCATGTAATCCAGATCCATTTTTCTGAATGTGAAGGTTCTTGGTGTAGGGAGGCAGCCTAGAGGGTCTCCTGTTTTCTGCACTCTGCTGCTCAGAGCCACCTTGGAGAAGATGGGCTCCAGAAAAACAGCATTCACAAAGCACAGTTCATCCCAGCCATGAGAGGATGTAACTCTTCTTGGAGAGGGCCTGGGTTTTGCATCTCTTTGCCTTGCTCTTTCTCTCCTCAGCTGGGAATATAGATAAATTACTTAGCTAATTGAATGGGAGAGAAGAAACTACTTCGGAGTAAACCTCTCTGATGAGCTAATCCAGAAAAACTGTGTTGCTTCCAGCATGCACTCTCAGGTATTTTGCAGCAGCAGCTCTGCATGGACTGGTTCCTGCAGGGAGGGATGTCCTTGCCCTGCAGGTAGGTGGCATGGTGTGTACAGTTGTTTCTGCTCAACATCTGCAGGATTAAACTAGTCCTTCTGCATCATGCATAAAGAGCAGTGAAAAATCAGCACAAAGTGACTAGGAATCAGTAGCAAACTGGAATAGGAATTAAGGAGTCAGTGTAACTTTAATAAGCCTTTTTAATTTGAAAGGGAGCAGAGGAGTCACTATCTCTGTACAAACCAATTTGTGCTCAGGGAAGATGACTGTTGCTGCAAGTGTGGAGGGCAGTAGGCACATGGTGCAGGATATTTCCTGCTATCCTGACATCACATAGCTGTGCATTGGACTTTTTCTTCTTAAGGTTAAACCTAAAAGAATCAGTAGGAACTGAGCTTTGCTCTTTTTAGCTAAGCATTTTGGGGTTTTTTTTCTCCCTCTTTGCTTTTATCCCTGTGTTTGATGGTTTAACATTCTCTGTTCTTTAAGTCTGCACTTGAATGCCGCAAGAAAGAATCCAACTGTGTATTTTAAAGACCTACATTTTCCATACTTTTTTGTATAAAATAACAACATTGATTTGTTTTGCCAATTATTCGTTTTTCTACATAGTGCAGAGAGTTGTTTGTTAAAAGCTGTGCCACTTGTTTTTTATTTTCTATCGGTGTCTCTACTCCCACATCATGGGTTTTACTTTATTGAAATCATACATAGCACCACTTGCCACCCACTTTTAAAATCCTTTGTTTAATTCTTTTCAAAACAAACAGATTTAAATGTTTTTCCTTTGATTCTTAGACGCTGTCAGGATTGCCAGATCAAGACTCTTTCTACGATGTGGTGGACTGTCTGGAAGAGCTAGGCATCGAAGCTATTTCACAGAGACACTTGAACAAGAAAGGAACAGACTTGGACTTAGTTGAGCAATTTAACATTTATGAGGTAACATAACATGCCCTGTTTTATGCATCTTACAGCTTGTGCAAACTTCAAAGCTGAGAGGAGGGGGGGAATGTAACCTAGGTGAAATTTGGTTATCTCTCCTATTTTGAAAGAAAAACATCTGGTTGCTGTAAGTACTGTACACATTTGTATATGTAACCTGCTATGGCACATAGCTGCCTTTTATGCAAAGGCATTTTGTATTAAAGCTGGGGCATAGTCCAAGGCAAACCAGCACATTTACTAGCCTCCTCTCTGCAACTGCTAGTTGCACATGCTGAAGCAAGTAGTTCTTCCCATGTGCGAAAGTATTCAGCTCATCAAAAAGGTTCAGCTGAGCTCAACTTCACAAGTACCACTTGTTCTGCAACTGAATATCCAGCAAGTCCGTGTTTAAGAGTTTACACTGGACCAGATCCTATGCAGTTTGCAGTAATGAGTGACTCCACATTTACCACCTGGGTATAAAATAACTTCTTCTGAAGCATTTATATGTAGGGGTAGGAAATCCAGTTTCTTAATAATTAGCCTTTTTTCAGATTTTGGGAAGTGTTGGAGGTAGGAGGTTTAGGCTGAAGTTGTAATGTAAATGTGAATTAGCGTTCTCATATGACAAAGTTAAATTACTTCATCACTGCCTAAGTCCAGCAAAGGATTTAATAGATTTGATTCTCCATTTTCTCCATCAGTTCTACTCCCATGCCACTTCACTAACTAGCAGAGTTAAGCTTTATACACAGCAATTTCTAGGAAGAGCAAGAGAAGGAGAGGGATCAGTAATGTTCTTTCTTTTTCTATCATCGGAGGCATCATCTTATAATGGCCTTTTTAAAATGTAGTGATTATTCTTAAAAGGATGGATTGGTTTTTTGTGCATGCTGCACCTACTGAAAGACTTGCAGAATTGGCAGTTGACTTAGTTGGTGTCAGCTTTTTCTTGATGACCAAATTAAATTTAAATATGTCTTTTCAGGTTCTTTCTTTTATCTGCCAATCCTGTTTTTTACCTGAAAAATCTGTTTTTCCTTACAGAAACAGATTTTACACCCCAAGCAGAGATATCTCACTTCCCCCCCTTTTTAAAAAAAAAAAACTTCTGGTAAGAATTACCAGAGTAACAAGACTAATAGGAACAAGAAGATAGGAATTCTTCTGATGGCACACATCACCCTTTCTGTACCTCTGCCCATTTGAGTAGATCTTTCACTTACAATGATTATTTAGATGTTAGGCTGCATTTCAGATGAGAGTCATTAGATACTACGTTGTTTCAGCCAGGAATCTCTCTCCTCATGTTTCTATTAGAGGTAGTTTCTATTAGAGGTAGTTCACATTGGCACATCTGAGGCGTGCAGCAGTTTGAGGTATTTGGCATTGCACCCATGCTAATTCCAGCACACTTTAGATGGTAACTTCCACTTAATCACTACAAGTGTCATGTCTGAACATGAAGAAGTGTTGAATCAGTCAATGCATGGAGCTTTTTCCTGTTAACATCAATAAAACCAAGTCTTTGCCTAAGTATTTTGGAAGGATATAAAGAGAACTAGTTGTCCAAGACTGCTCAGCTTCCTTGAAAATTTGGTCCCACATTAAAAAGACGACAAACAGATTAGGAGGCACGTAAATGTGTTGTTACAGGTCCTGTAATGTTGTATGCGAGACATCAGTATACAATGTTGTATGCAAGACATCAGTATATAATTCCATTGTTAGAGCTGCCACACTGCACTAATGGATAGACAGTGACTTTCGGGGATAGCTGTAGAAACAGTGACGCTAATTGGAGTTCATCATGTTGAGACCAGGAAATTTCTAAGCCTAGGTGTGAAGACCTGTGGTAGCTGAGGGGACCGTGTGGGCCTTGTTCCTTTGTTTCCCAGGTGACGCTGAGGCATGAGGACGGAGATGAGGGTGCTGAGCCGCCTCCCAGCGGGCGCAAGGACCGGAGGAGGGCCAGCCTCGGTGCGGGCGAGCGCAGGGGGCTGGAGCGCCGGCGGAGCCGCAGGCACTCGGCACACAACAGCATCAAGAGCACTTTGTCAGCCCCTGCCAGCCCCTGCGGGCAGTCCAGCTTCGTGCTGAGCCACGGGCAGCGCGTGGAGGAGCTCAGTGAGAGGTAAGGGCAGAAGCTGAGGGGTATTCCTTTCTTCTCCCGTCGCTTTCTGCTCATTGCACTTTATTAATATGATAGGCTTTTCTTTATCTTCCTCTTTTCATTGAAATAAAAATGAAAAAAACAAAAGCGTATTCAGAGTTAAAACAGCAGCACAAAAAGGAAATGGATTTGTGGGTGACTTACCTACATAGCTAAGTTCTTTGGCACCATCCATCCTAAGGAGACCCAAACCACACGACATAGAGCATTTGGTATGAGAACTAATTTCATCCATTGACAGATTTTATATTCACTATGTTCACATAACAGAAGATTGTAACAAGAGCATGGTAACGTTAATTCAGAGCTGTTTGTTCTGTGTATGTTACAGTTCATTCTTATTTTTTTTCCTCCTCTTCATTCCAGCATAAATATTTGCCTTTGAGGCTACAGCAGAGTAGTGAACATATCTAATGTTTTATAATTAGCAAAAGAGAGGCAGCAATGGCTAGCTGAGCAGCAGTCTGCAACAGTGGAGTCAGTTGAAGATGGTGTCTTTGCCAGTCCTATGATGGTTGGCTTAGGCTGTGTGTGCTTAGGAAAAAAAGGAGCTGCAGATCCTCAGCGTGTCTGACTGCTGCACAACAGGGCTGGAAGTAATTCACCACAGTTACATGTCTGATCAGCCCTCCTCTCTTTGATGTCAGTGCAGTGCAGCAAGCGCTGGTGGGCCTTCAGTTATCTAATGTGTTCTACATGCCTGAAATTTCAACCAAGATGAATCAAGCTCTGAGACTGGCTGTTGATTCTAAAGGGAATCTGGCTGACTAGCTCAGATGGTGATACATGAAAGCTGCAGACAGCAAAAGCTGGACACTGTCATCTCATTGCTGAAGATGCAGTTTGAAAAACTGAAGCATGGTCTGTACAAGAGCATATCTTGTATTAATTATAACTTTTGGGAAGTTCATTGAAGGTTTCTCTTGGGTGGCAGGGGATGTAAACTTAGAGTCTTAAAATCCTATGTTGCATGTAAAGCAGTCCTTCTTGCAAAGAGACCTGGGTTGACTAAAGTTTAATGGGTTCTGGCAATATGAAAATGTAAGACTCCAGATAACTGAAATAGTAGTTGAAGGTTGTATACCACATATATAGCACCTTATTTTCTTTTTTTTTTCTTCTTTTTTTTTTCTTTTTTTTTTCTTTTGGCATTTGACAACACATTAACACTTGTTTTCCATCACCTTCCATGGCCTGGTCTTTAGTGGGCTGCCAGCTGAGAGCCCCATGCTCTTACAGGCTGATAACAAGGATGACAGTGCATTTGAGGATGAGTTTAAAGCATCTTCAGAGTGAGTACAGCTGGGAGCTTCAGCTGCTCTGCATGGGATGCCTGTGCATGACCTTGGGCCCTGCTTCAGGACTTAACAATATGACTGGGAATCTGTAACCATGAATGTGGAGCAGATATTTATGGTTATATGATTTATATGATTTTTTTTTTTTGTAAAACTCATGAATTTGGATTGGAAAGGAGGAGATGCTTCCATTCTGCAGAAGGGAATTGTTCATTCCCTTACTGTTAATTAAACTGATAGAAGCCATCCAGGACAACAACTTCTACCAACATGTTTTTTCACTATTATTGTGTGTGCTTGCTAGCTTTATTTTGCAGGCTTCAGTAGCTTCTGATAAATTTGCATTTGAGCTAATTTTTAGTGGGAATAGAATAGAGAGAATAAAACCACAACAAATCAGTTTCAGAAGCTCTTTGAAATATTTTTTAACCAACATAACATAATTTCAATAATCATGCTACTTTTTTGAAAAAAAAATTAATATAGTTCTGCTTCACACGCTTTTTGACAGTGACATATTTTAAACCTTATTTTAAGTTTAAATACAAGAAAGAAATCTTTCTCTAAGCAGTGAATTTTAATTTTGTGTTGCAGTTATCTTCTGTAAGACAATAATTAAATTCTCTTCATTTCCATTTGGAATGTCCAGCTTACTCACCTGGCTCTGTAAGGAAACAGGCATGCAATTATGAATGTGTGTAATTCTGATCTTTACTTTGCATATTAGTTAAATAAAAATACTGCCTCAGCCCCCACCCCCATTATCCAGTCCTCTTAACAAGTAAAGGCAGGGAATTATTTGTAGCTAGCAAATCAGATTTTTTTCCCAAGGGACATTACAGACTACAAAGTATGTTCAGGATTTGAGGATGCAAGTTCTATGCTCAGTGGAATTGTTTAAGTTACCATAAAAAGAAGTTAGTCAACTGTTGGATCTTCTATAATTCTCATTTTTCTGGTAAAGTGTTTCTGGTAAACAAGCTTTTCAGATAAGCAGATTCTGTCCTTCACATTTTTAGATTCATTATCTGCCCAAATCTGTAGTTGTGGTAGGAAGAGGAAAAACAGCCTTCCTGCTTTATCTTATTCCAGTAACTCTCAACTTCTAGTGAAATAGTCCAGATGTGTGCAACAGTATCTCTACACCTGATAGCTAAATTGAGACCAAAAAAAAAAAAAAGGAAAGGAAAAAAGGAAAAGCCTAAAAGCCTTATGGCTTCTACTCATTAATGTTTAGGCAGAAAAATAGTGAAGTTGAATGTGTCCTTTAAGGTTTTTACAAATTTATAGAATTTGAATTAGACTAAAATGGAAAGAGGTTTTCTCTAATCTGATTTTCAAATTTGAGCATTTGGTCTTTATGGGTTTAAAGGACTTGGCTAGATTGATCTTGTGGCAGTTTGCATTTAAATTTTAAAATCCTATGTTAGAATATGATGCAGGCATCACTTGATTTTGTCAGAAGAAACGCTCATTATGACCCTGTTGCTTCCATTGTTAATGTTGTAGAGAGGAATCTATACAAATGGATAAAATTACTCACTACCTCTGTAAATTGAAAGTGACTTCTGTTCAGCCATGAAAGAACTGTCTCCTGCTAATGACCTTTTAGTTCATAACCCTGGTTCCTCTTGAGAAAGAAAAAAAATTTGACAGTAAGTTTTTGCAGTGCTCTATTTTCCAAAAAATAGTTACAGAATGGATTTCAGTCTTTATTCCTTCACTACATTTTCTTTCCCAGTAGGAATTGTAACAGTACTAATGATAATCTTACTGTGTTGTTCCTGCTAAAAGCTCTAAACTTTGTGTGTGGCTGCAGATGTCTTATGTCTGGTTTTACAGTGGATTAGACCCAGTGGAATTGCTTCTGATGAACACGGTTAGAGATTGAAGTTGCACTCATACACTGTACTAAGTTTTATTTTGGGAAATATTCTAGGTTATTTTTGGACTTCTGTACCAAAATCAGGAGAAGGTTCAAGTTCTTTCCCATCATTCTCCTTCCCACAATATTAATGTTTCTTTTCTTTGTAGCTCATCAGCTGTTTTGGCAATGGCTTTGCTTTTGTTTACCACATCAAACAGGTTGTCCACAATCATCTGCTTTGTGTCAACCGATAAGTCTTCCAAAAAGAGAGAAATTCATGGTGCCGGTAAAACAACAAAAAAAGGACAATATTGGCCAAATTCTGTTCTGTCTCACAATGCTCTATATCCAGAAAAGTTGTCTGAAGTCAATGGAGTTGTTCTGATCTATGCCAGGCTAATTGAGAGCAGACTTTGGGTTTTGAGCTGGGAAAAGTTGACAGTAAATGCTAAGGGCGACCAAAAGGAAAACTTGCAGGCCTTTTTCATCCACTTGGCAGCCTTTTTCCAAACTAAATGTATTGTTTTTTTGCCTGTGGTTCAAAACAAATAAGGATCCAAATCTGCTTTGTGTTAAAATAGTTTTCATGGAGAGCAAAGCTCAGCCTGATGTGCCTGTTACTAAATAAGTAAGTAAAGTTGATAACAACTACTAACTAAGAAAGGCCGAAGGTTGATTTAAAGGTCTGTACCTACTGCAGCATACTTTAATATCCCTGTCCTGACCAGCAGCAGGTCTGCTTTGCTAAAACTTCTTTCTCTTATCATGATGGCATAGAGCACCAATAAGCCCTGTGGGAACTTTGGTCCTGTTTAGCATGATGTTTTAGTGCTGTGCTGGAGGTATCTCCTAAGGCTTTCTGCCCTGGCCCAAACTGAGTGCTCTCAGTCTGTGGTCTAGCATGCTGCTTCTTATGCAGTAGTCTTTTAAACACATTCTTCCATGGGTTGTGTTGTTTGTTTGATTGTTTTCTTTTTAAAGTAAAGCTAGCTTTTTCCAGCCACACCATGGATAGAGACAGGGAAAAATGCAAGGAGTAGCATGGGATTTGCACTAGATTTATATTGTTATTGTATGCAGTGATTTCTGGCTAAATAAGCATTAAAAGGCAAATTTCTGTCTCTCTGTCTTTTAGTCTCTTCCTGACTGGGTTTCAGAAAGTAAAAGGCAGCCTGGTCAGAAGTTCTCAGTGCTCTCTTGAGCATGGCACAGCTTCTCTGAGTTCTGTACATCAAAATCAGAAACAAGTGCTCCTCCCAGTTTTTCAAATTAATGTTTCACATTTTGCTGTGCATTTCCTTTTCTTCAGTACTGCACAGAGACCATACTCATCTCTTGCTCTGGGTGTCCCATCAGAGCTGTATCAGCCAGACCTTAGCAAATATGTTCAAATTAGCTTCTGGGAGATTTACACTGACACCTCTTACCAGCATTTGAGTGAACAGCTCCATCACTATGGAATTAGTTACAGGTCAAAGACTGAGGTTTATGAAGCTGTAAATAGCTAGAATTAGGTGTTTTCCTCTCTTCATTAGACTCTGCTTTTTATTTCCATAGCTTTGCTTTGTTTTATATTATCAAAAACCACCAAATAATTGCTAAGATTGATCTTATAATACTAAACACATTCAGCTAGAGATAACCTGGCCATGGTTAGAATGTTCTTTTCAGTATTCCTGTGTTTGACACCTAACAAATGAAAGAACTGACTGCCATCTTAAGAACTTATCAGAGTGGAGCCTGCAATCTGCATCAGTGACCAAAGCTGCCCTTAGTAAGCTTTATCTTAGTAGACC